TAGCACATGGACAGAAAGGTTTGTTAAATTTTTCCTCATCAACATTTCTTACTTAAATGTATTAATTATCGCCAAGCGTAATGCCAACATAAATGGTTACCGTACTCTTTGTTATTCAATTATTAATATAAAGAAAATTGTTTAGACATCGCTGCATGAGTCATTACGTAATTGTCTTGTGTTGATAAACATGCGGCGATGAAAGCAAAATATAATATAAAATGGTTTGCCAGGTTGGGCGTCTTAAATATAAAGTAGGTGTAAAATCAAAGATGTTTCAATGTTTCGGTTTGAGATTTTATTTAGTGCCGAAGTGAGATTATGAATCTGGACTGTTATTGTGTGTGGGGGGGGGAAGGTACATACAAAGAAAACGTTCAAAAAAAAAAAAAAAAAAAAAAAAAAGAAGTCGTTGGTGGCTTAAGTTCGGATCTTACATCATTCCGGATATTGAACGTCTCGATCTCGGTCTTTGTCTGTAATGAAAAACAAACTGATACTTATCCTAGATAGTGAGAGTGTGAATATGAAGAAGTTATTGAAGTAATTGACAATATGAAATCTGAGTTAAAAGGAAAACTGTTGAACTCTAGAAATTTTCTTGTTACGTCAGATCAGTCTTTAAATGTAAAACTGTCAAAAATATCCTTACATATTCTCAGTGGCAAGTTTACATAATTGGTTATAATTTCGAGATATTTTTATTTATCAAAATTCCAATCAAAGCCAGTATTTAGTCAGTATTTATCAAAATTCAAACTTATCATATGTTGTAAAATTTTCTTTAAAAGAAGATGCCTTTTCAAATCATGCAATCCAATGCTATTACGGATGCAAATTATACCTTGATTGGTCATTGTTAGAGGAACGTTACTCAAATAAAAGAGAACAAATATATGCGCGTTTAAAGAGATTTCTTAACTCAATGTTACGCAAAATGAGTCATCATCTGCCATATTAAATTTAATAGATGGCACGAGTGAATGTGTTGGGGAAGTAGATGGATTCGCTTCTGTTATGTTTGCATATATGTTGAGTCAAAAGTTAGATGCTAACACGAAACTTTTTTGGGGGAAAGGCACATTAAAAAAGAAAGCTTGCCTAATTTAAATGAATTTAGAATTTCTGAGGAACAATGCTAGGATAATTAGCGCGTCTAAACCAACTGTAAATGTAAACGAAACTCTCCAAAAATTACTGCAGTGGCAGTAGAGCATAAGGGTGAAATCTTAGTGTACAGTATAGGCAGATTTTCGATCATTGTTTAAAATTATGGTTTTAGTACATCCCCTTAATAATCATAGATGAATTATTCAAACAAGAAACTATGATGCTAATTTTTCTTTTTTTAACTGAAGTCTATCTGAGCACTTTTTCATAACAAAATTTGAGCATACATCCAGAAGAGCTCGGCACATATGAAACTGACCTAATTTATCCTTTGCGAGTAGCTATACTCAGCAAAACGGTTCGTGGATTCTTATTCATAAAACTCATCGCAGAAATCGAGTGCAATATTTCTAATGAACTCGAAGAAATGAGATTAAACGAAGTTCAGCAAAAGTGTGTGTAACTTTATAGGCTGTATAAGGAAGTCATGTGCTGTCCACATCAGATTTTTTAAAGATGGGAACAAAAACGAAGGTGTGTTTTTTCACTTTTGTCAACAACAAATAATTGAAGCATTTCAATTACAGTCTGATGTCAAAACATTTTTTAAACTAGTTTTCCTAGATTTGTCGTTTTCTTTTCTAAAAATACTACAGATTACAATTACGAAAGTATTTTTATAAAAGGATTCTATTCAGAGTCCTTTTTAGCAACCAAACTTATATATATATATGCTTATATGGCTAGAATTCCAACTTTTATTAATATAATATAATGATATAATTTTGTTATTTTCTCGAGGTAAGCTAAAGACCTCAGAAAAATGAGGCAAGGAGAACATGTCGCATGCTTGATTGCGCCTGCTTTAGAATCATTATCAATCATATAAAAATAAGTTCAATTTAATAAATTTAATTAATTAGACATGTTTAAAATTTCTAATTTCTGAAAAAGATATTAAGACTTAGCTGTATGCAGATGGAGAAGGCTACAAGTTTTTCTAGAACAGAAATTCTATATGTCTCTTAATAAAATATCTTTTTTGAAAAAAAAATTCTATTAATTAATAATCTTTGCGACGATCTCCGTAGAAATACTAGTGAGTGAACATCAGAAAACATTTTTATATTACTTACTTATGCATCAGAATAACTTTTTATTATAACACTTTATATTTGACTTTACTACATTAACTGTTTTATATATACTGATACTTCATTTTTAGTTAAGTAACAATGCGAACACATCGTGTTTTAACTTTGTCTGCAGTCTCTGAGTTGGCCTTCAGTCGGTGAAAGCAATCAGAGTTAGGCGATGAACTGATAATACGAAAGTGCAGCTGGGTACCTAGAGGGAAGCGGTCTGCTGGGCCAGCACTTTTTTGGTGGACGGCATTTTTCATATGAAACAGATCAGAGGGTTAGTCATATGAAGCTTTTAGTGGAGAAAGACTAATTGAAATTAACTGAATTATAACAAAGTTCACTACAGTTACCTATGTAAGGGGAGAAACGTCTTCGTGCAAGACTAAACTTATGCACAAAGGGCTTAAAACATAGAACTGGCTCAAGTTTCGTCATGGATACGTGTTTACAACGTTACAGATCCTGCGTTTGTATAAGGAAAACCACACAGGGCAAGCCAGCCAGATGCTTGGGATTTGACCCCATGTTAAACTACCAGTATTGAACTATCGTTTCCTCAGTCATCGGTGGGCTGAAAAATCAAGAGATGCAGAAATATGATGTGAAATTGAATTGAGGAGAGAACTGGGTTTACACTGGACAGAATATTCGAAGAAATTATAAAACACTTTCACTCTCTTGTTATGTTTCCTTAACTTTTATCGAAACTTTTGAATGTAAAATGCAAATGACAGTTAAATTACTGTTGGAGTGACGTAAAAAATACTCAGTGGGAAAGAAATACTTCAAAGTTTTGTTTCTGTTACTGCTTGGGAGGACAAAACTGAGAGGTAGAGGAGAAACCACTTTGAACTTTTACAGTTTACACCAAAATGCAATTTCAAAAGTAATTTCAAGTATTATAACTCTATTTTGAGTTTCTTCGCAAGTGCTGTAAGTATTACTTATTGCGAAAGGAGATCTTCTAGACAAAAATGAGTTAAAAACCATGTAAGACTTAACAATGGGTATCTTGTATTGAATAAATACTTTACTGTCGAGAGAAGGGTAATTAAATAAATTTCCAGAATGCCATCTACGGTTTTACTAGCAAAACAACTCTATAAAATGTTGGAATTTACCTTTATTTCAAAATTAACGCACATCTTTTCTTTATGTCGCTATATGTCGTTTCGATATTTTATAGAATTGATTTTTTGGTGTACATAGAGAGATAGCAAATGAACAGATGTGAGAGGCAAAAACTTAAGGTACACCGCCTGTGATAGTGAGAGTATGCGCTTTACTATATCACTCAATAAAATGGAATATATGGGCTAATTTTTGTCGTACGCATGTCAAACATTTTACTTTTTAAAATGCATATAAAATTTTCCTACATCTAAGTAACAGAGACAAGGTAGAAAATTAAAGAACTGGAATTTTTGTTTTTAAATTCACTTTTTGAAATTTTAAAATAATAAAACATGAATATTTGCGTCATTTGAAACATTTCTATAACTGAAGGTGTATATATACTACCAGTCGCAAAAATAAAGACACAGTATATAAATGCAGACACAGTATATAATGCAGACACAGTATATAAAAATAAGGACACAGTATATAAATGCAGAATTGGAAATCTACACACAAAATACCTTCAGATAAACCTTCAGGTATCAGCTACCTACTGCAAAAAGATGAAAATTAACTTTTATAACCAACGCTAGAAAACAGTCCCCTATACTGCAGCGCTCCCACAGAGCGAAATTGGAACTTTTGCTATAGACTCAGAACTTTTCATTTACTAATTTCCTGCAGTATTTACTCCCCTATGCTTAGTATGATTTTTATGTGTTTTACGCGTCTTACTCACCGTATATTGCGTTTAAGCTCAGTCTTGGACGTAAAGCTTTTTATTGGTCTGGAGCAGTCATGTAACCTGTGTAGCTCTCTTATGTGTTTTCAGGATATTTTCTATGAACGTTGAACTTTTTACCTTTTAATCTCATTATTTCTCCTGATTTTATAACTCCCTAATTGATTATTTCACCTACTGAATTATCCTTATTTGCTTATCTCTCAAGTTATGAACGTTACTATACTACTCAGTAGCTACTATCTTTGGTTTGTACTGTTTTATTTAACTATCATTATTTGCATTAAATTTTATCTTATCAATATTCATAGTGAATTACATCCCATGCTTTTCCATATCTTATAATTTGCGTGTATATATTTTAGGTAAATATTCATCACCTACTTTTATTGAGCACTTTGTTAAAATCTGCTAATCGGCTGCTCAAGTCATGTGATCCTGGCGCAGTCTCCCCTGTGTTTACTATTTACTGTTCATAAATATCTGTAATTACTTCCTATATTTTCATCCTAGTATTACCCAAATTCACTGTTTTTATCCCTTCCAGATCATTGGCCAGTATGTTATGAATACAATGTCCTGTATATGCATCCTTTGTCAGAAAAGTTCCAGCGCAATATTTTTTCAATTTCAGAGTTTGCAGTACTAGAACGAAACAAATGTTGTTTTTATGTTACCTGCTATGTATTCTTACTTGACAGAACTTGGACACGTTTCCACGGAAACCTACTATGTGGCAGGGCTGCGCTTAGCAACACACTGTTCGGATTGCTGTCGAATTCGTTAAGGGGCACAATGGATGCTGATTGTGAAGAAAGAGTGAACATTTAAGTTCTGCGTTAAGCTCGGGGAAACCTCCGGTGAAACCTAGAGCAAGCAAGCATATGCAAGCGGGGCACTTTCCTGGAAGTTGTGTTTTTGAGCGGTACAAAAGGTTTCGTGAAGGCGGAAATTCAGTGCAAGACGATCCCAAAGCTGTTCTCACGTCTACAGCACATACCGATGCAAACGTGGAGCGTGTAAGGCAGTTATTGCAAGAAGACCGCTGTGTAACTGTGCGTAGGATATCAGAAGAACTGAATTTGAATCGTGATTTTTATCATAAGATTTTACGCGAAGATTTAGGGAAACGGAAACTTAATGCAAGAATCGTCCCTCACTCACTGACAGATGAACAGAAAGAGGAAAGACGAAGAATTTCTGCTAAACTATTGGGTAGAGCCAGACGTGATCCCACATTTGTGTTAAAGATTATTTCCGTGTTTCCATGAGCGAAAAGATGACTGAAAGGAAAGCTTCATCAAGATTATTGCAGACATCCAACGGGTTGTGACAAATGAGCTTGCAAACATCGCAGTTGAAGATATCCCTGCTTGTTGTCAAGACCTCCAGAAACGTTGACGGTTGTGCATAGATAGCCAAGGGGACTACTTTAATAGCCGCTAGGATCATTACTTGGTAAATGCAGTTTTCTATTTTTCACGACCTTTGTCCTGCAGCTTTTCTGACAGAGGATGTATTATTATCTCTTCGGGCCTCTACTTCGGTGAGCGATCTACTCGCTCGTATCACGCGACTCTGTGTTTATTCTTGTAATTGCATGCTTATATTTGCGCAAAATTTTATCATTTAGCTTTACGACTGGAATAAAATTGCATATTTCTGCTTTTGCCCACGTACTCCTCTCATTGCAGATTCTGCACTAGATTTGCCATTGCTTTCTGGGGTTTTCGTGTCTCTCATAAGAAATGGTCACCCCTCTCTTCATTATCATCAGTTCCCCAGCTTCTGTCAAGCATTTCGCCTTTGCATCGGCCATTAGGGGCAACCACTTCATATCAGCCGGCACATAGTTTGCATAAATGCAAGCTAGGCTCGGTATACAGCGGAACTAGGAACTAGTCAGTTCGAGTTTCGGCGGAGATCCATGAATATGACTTTTCCCTTTGTCTGAGTAAAATTTCTTTGGGTTACTTTTGTTAGTTTTGTCCTGTATCTTTCGTGTATGTACTGTTTGTGCTTAGGTATAATTATTTTTGTTAAATGTCCTTTAATATTAAAATTAATGTCCTTTAATATTTATTAAATTAAATGCCCTTTAATATTAAATTAAATGTCCTTTAATATTAAATTAAATGTCCTTTAATATTAAAGTTTCTGTTAAATGTTGTCAATTTTGTTTAATAATTTACAGCTAGCTGTGAAAACAACACTGCATAAAATAAAATAGCTGCGCAACCGATGGGCCTCGAAAATTTTAAATTATTCAAAAATAAAAAGTGCTCTTTACCGAAACTTGAGCTCAATTTTTTCTTCTAACTTTAGCTGCACTAAAGGAGAAAAATCACCGCTTGGTGATATGAAACATTTTGAATATTCACTCCGGAATAAGATAGATGAATCCAGTGTCCTTGGTTTTAGTGTATAACAGCTATTCAGTCGGTAGAAGATTTATTGTGTGTAAAATTTCATTGATTATGATAGTTTAACATAGAATGAAAATCGGTTAATTTTGTAAATATTTTAGTATTAACGTAAACAATACTTAACTGAGATTGTAAGTTGATTAATCGGAAGTTAACAGAATTACAAAGTGTTAAATTATATTATGTACCTGTGAAATACCTGTGAAAACCTGTGTTATGAGAAAATAAAATACGTATTTTCAATTATATGGTACATCCATACCTTTTTTAAAAGAAAAAGAGCAAAAGTAGTTCTTTCTTAGTGTTATTAAAATTTGTAGAAATTATTTTATGTTTGCTTTGATATTGTTTATAAGTGTTTAAAGTTTGATTATTATTTGTTAAATGGTCATATATATAACTGAAAACAAAACTTGCTTTTTGAATACGCATTTTATTCCATCCGAGAAACTGGCGAAATGAAAGTGTCCTTGAATAAAAAAGATCGCTTGTAAATTCTTTAGCATGATTCATACTTGAGGGAGAGAGAGTATGTTTATCGTAATGAATAATTTATTGGATAAGGGGTGTCTGTTATTGGAATATATATTGCTTTCTTTATTTTTCATTTATAATAACTCTTATTACGGTTTTAGAAACTGCTGTTACAAAGGTGTTATTATTGTGCATTTTGTCTTCAAACTATATTTAATAATATTTCTTTATTGTTTTACATTACGTTGTTAATGAAAATATTATATTCAAATTTAAAAGGGGTATAGCTACTTTTAATAGTTCCTCCTTCATTATAAGTTCTGCCAACGAATAATATTAAGTTAGATTAGAGACTTTTTTCAAGAAATTTTCAAGAAAAGAAAACAAAAGTGTACATAAATCTACTTCGAGCTGGCATATTTAGGCAAAGCCCTCAAAGAGGATCTTAACCCTAAAATTCTAACTGAAAATTTGTACGATAGCGATATATTGTAACAAGTTCTATGATGAAGAATTTACAAAAAATATGATAAATAACATATAGATAGATAGACTCTAGTATTACATTAATAAAAACTCATGTATTATTTACATACGTCAATACAGAACTCGATTCGACGACATCAGATGCCTTCCCTAATGAACACAAATATTTCGAGATTCTTAAAATATGCTAACCCTAACTAAAGATCTTTTGTTTTGTTTTCCCTGAATGACAGCTTTGCTTGGCAATATAGATACTGAAAAAGGATTAAAGTTTTGAATTCATTTTTAAATACCTACAAGAATTTTTGCACATAGAAGTACAGAACATTTTGTATTCAAATATTTAAAGATTAGTACATCGTAATATTTTCTAACTGAATCACTCGATTTCTTTTTTACCTACAGAATTCTCTCACTTATCACACTAAAATTATTCTCGCGAAGTTCTATAACTTATTTTGAGAAACTTTAAAATGGGAAACATATATAAAGAGACAATATTTAAAGGTAAAATTCCGGCAGCGCATTTTACGTGCACATCATATTTTAGTAAAATTAGCTTTGTAGAACAAGTTACAGGAAAAACCATTAGGTGATTGCTACAGCAAAGAAGAAAGAGAAATTTTAATGGAGGATTAAAATCAAAATAAGAAATACTAAATGAAAATGAAATAAATATTCCGACTTTTGGTTTTCAAACAAGTAAAAATTTTATCTTACCATATACAATGTGCTTGAGAAATCTTGAGAAATAACTCTAGAATAACTGCATAATTGTAGATCACTGTGTGTTTTATAAAATGGTGCTATTGATAAATAGATGACGTTAAGAATAATGAGACACCTCAATATGAACCGGATGTGAAAGTATTATTGTTCGGTGAAACCTCTGTTTATTGAAAATGCCAGTAAATAAGTATTTCTTCAAATTTAAATGCTATTCATTTGCAAAATGATATGAATCAGATTAATTATGCAAGCGACTGAATGAAACGTTCCTTGGAAAAATTTCATGCAGTATCAGATGAATAGTGTAATCTTCATTGTGTAAATCTTGCTAAGATAAAGCTTAGCAAGATTACACTATGAAGTTCTTCTACCTGTCGCTAAAACCTATATTATAAATACGGAAATTGTTCGTACTTATTAATGTGTTAGCGCAAAAGGTTTAAAAAATTGATTTATGATATTCAAGTATCATTAGCGTAATAAATCGTTTTATCAAAGAGTAAAGATTGAAATATCTGTAGCAAAAAGGGTACTACTTTGGTAGACGGTTGCACGGATTTTGGCAAGCTTATTTTGGCGAACGATACGACTTATGGTAAACCGACGACTTATGCTAGACAAGTTATTTATGGTAACCGATACTTTGTTGTCATTTTATTTAAAAAATAATGCGTTTTATTATGCATAAATTCCGTGTTTTAAATATTATTTATGGCTTCTAAATATTAAAAATCAATTTAATTTTGCATTCTTATTTGAAATAAAAATTGTATTGTTTATGATATTTTATATAATTTTATGTTGTGGATGATGTAATGAATGACGTCACACTTTAAAAGTAATTGGTTTTAATATCTATAAATTTAATCTAATATTTTAAACATTATTTATTGCTGTTAAATATTAAAATATAATTTAATTTTGCATTTTTAAAAAAATGTTTTTATTATGTATGATTATATAAGTAATTTTAATTCTATTCGTGATGTAATCAGCTCCTTGATTGGTTACAGAATATTAGTGCATTAACGAGCTGTAATCAGCTCCATGATTGGTTACTGAATATTTGTGCATTACCGCGCCATTTTAAAATTTTATTATTCATCTCTTCGAATTCCTTAGATTACATTTTTCAATTTTTTTCCTTAGATAACATTTTTTAAATTATATTACATTTTCAAATTTTTTTCAATGACATCTAATTTATGATTCCGATTTTTTTTTCTGGTACTTATCAATATACGACAAGTTAAATACTCAAAAAAATATAAGTACATATTTTTCTTTTACTTTATAATTGTATACTTCAATTTTTATTAAAAAATTAATACGCTATTTTCAAAAATTGCCAAGATATTTATTGCCACATATGTTTTAATGTTAAATAATTATAACCTATAAAACCTTTTTTTAAAGGATTTGAATTTAAGTAATATTTTAATTCTTTTAAACGTTGGTGTGATGTTTTTAATTCGATATTTAATTTAAGTAATATTTTAATCCAATTAAAGGTTAAAATGCGGTTTAGCCCACTGCTTGGCGATTGTTTTTCAATGGGCAATAAACGCGCCAACATGGCTAACCCGATGTTTTGAAGCTGTGTTGTTATTCTTTTGCTACTAAATGTTATCGCCCTGTGTTATATTTAAAGAAATTAAATAATGAAAAATCTGCATAAATGTTTCTCGCATTGTGATAAAACAACGGTACCTAGAGCCATCAAATTTTGAATAACATACGTTTCCAACCTAATACGGGCATCTGGAAGCCCAAACTTGGAATTTTTTTTTTTTTATTATCTGATTGATATTTTGTAAAACTTGAACGAAATTTTTATTAGCAAACTCAAAGATTTCAAAGCGAGCAACTGCAACACAGTAAGAAAAAAAAAAAAAAAAAAAAAATACGTGCAGAGCGCAAAACTGTGGATCAGAAATTCTAAAGATATGCTCATTTTAGAATTATTTTGCGATATTGCTGTTGAACTGAATTTTATGGTTTAAGTGTAAAGAACATTATATGATAAAGAAATGTAACGCACAAAACGTTAAAAAAAAAAACAAAAAAACAGGGCGTAATGTAAAATCTAAAAGCTTTCATTATTTTTATTTTATTTTATTTTATTTATTTATTTATTTTTATTAATTCTGTGGCGGTTTGAATGTTCTTATGTGGTTTCTTTTTTTAATCAAGAGTTCCCCCCCCTGTGGGTTTTAGCCTTTTTTCTGCATATATTACGGAAACGCCGTATAAACGTTTGTAAATTTATTTAAAGATGAGGGGGGATCCAAAAGGGTTTCCCCCTGAAATAAATTCATATATAAAACCCCTCAAAAAGACTTTACATTTTTCTTGAAACGGGTAAGTGAAAAAATTTTTCTTGTATGGTTCATTTTAAAGTTGCTTATTTGTATTTCTTTTTGGCTCTGTCCTAGAAGATTGGGAAAGCTAACGTTGTGCAATTCTCTGATTTTTTTTAATGAAAATAGATCGATATGTACATGGGCAAAGCCAATGCAGTGCGCAGAGCCGACGTTGTGCGTGATGCCGAGTTTGTGCAATTCTGAGATTTTTTTTAAAGTAAAAATAGATCGATGTGCACATGGGGAAAGCCAATGTGGTGCGCAATGCCGAGTTTGTGCAAGTCTGGGATGTTTTTTTAAGTGAAAATAGATCGATGTGCACATGGGCAAAGCCAATGTGGTGCGCAATGCCGAGTTTGTGCAATTCTGGGATTTTTTTAAGTGAAAATAGATCGATGTGCACATGGGCATAGCCAATGTGGTGCGCAATGCCGAGTTTGTGCAATTCTGGGATGTCTTTTGAAGTGAAAATAGATCGATGTGCACATGGGCAAAGCCAATGTGGTGCGCAATGCCGAGTTTGTGCAATTCTGGGATGTTTTTTTAAGTGAAAATAGATCGATGTGCACATGGGCAAAGCCAATGTGGTGCGCAATGCCGAGGTTGTGCGCGATGTCGGTTTTGTGCAAATCTGGGATTTTTTTTTAAGTGAAAATAGGTCGATGTGCACATGGGCTAAGCCAATGTGGTGCGCAATGCCGAGGTTGTGCGCGATGCTGAGTTTGTGCAATTCTGGGATGTTTTTTTAAGTGAAAATAGATCGATGTGTACATGGGAAAAGCCAATATAGTCAATGTTTCATGACAATGCTCTACAGATAAAAACAGTTTTATCTCCAGCGCGCGAGACTGTGTATCGGAAAATCTAAAGATATGCTTATTTTAAAATTATTTTGTGATATTGCTGTTGAACTGAATTTTACGGTTTAAGTGCGAAGAACATGATATTTAATTAATAAAGGTAACACGCAAAGTGTTAAAAAAACGCACCTTTGGGGCGTAATGTAAAATCTTAAATTTCAGATTTTATTTTGTTTTTTAATTTCATTATATTTGTTGTCTTTTTTTTAAAATTTCCTATCGTTGACAATATTACCTATCGTAGCTTTAGATATCGAAATGCCATGGCTTTCACAGCGTTTTTTAATAACTAGATACGAATAAATTTCTTCGGAGAGAGCACAAATGTCCGAAGACAAATTGTCAAGTAGCAGACGATAATTTATGCTTTCAAAACTATACTTGCAGTTAAAAAGAATTTCCAAGCAGACGATTTCTTTTGGAATTTTTACTTCGTAATTTGAGCAGTTAATTCATTTGCCGTTTGAATGTTCTTATGTGGTAGTTATCAATCGAGTGGTTTTATCTGTGTGTTTTTGTCATTTTTCTGCATATATTTCGTTAAATAAACAATCGCTATGGATTTATCTGTGATGCTGAGAGAGGTGAGTGAATGTACATGTAAATTTATTACTTTATTGGAAATGCAAGGGAAACGTGCCGTCATTGTCAAAAAGACTTATTATTTTCCTAGAATTATTAGATTATTTTCCTGAAAAGGGTAAGTGAAAATATTTTTTCTTTTTAAAATTGCTTATTTTTAATATTTTCTTATTTTTTTTCATTGTGAGAAATTAGATTTTTTAAATTTATTAATGTGTAGAATTCTAATACGAAAGTATAGAACGTGGTTTAGGAATTTAAGAAACATGGAAATGAAAGCTGTGTATGATGTTGATATTCAATAATAAATATTTTTCCTTTTTTTATTAATATAAAGCTTAAAACTTTTTAGAAAATAATGAAGCTTGTTTACTTACTAGTATGTAAGAGATGGTGTCGTTACGTAGCAATAAGGTAATTTTGTAAAGATGATGAAGTTAAAATGTTCCGCAATATGAAATTAAAATTTAAAAAAATCTGTTTTTATTTGTATAAATACTAAAGCTTAAAAATATTCACCCTGTATGAGAGACTGCGACGTTGTTTACAGTTTTAATAACTGTTACAATTCACTTACCGTATTTAATAGTTTGAAATACAAAAAATTTAGTATACTTATTTCTACATCTGTAGAGAATACATTGTGACGTCACAATCTTAGTCCCACCCATTTATGAACGTCACATAGCTCCGCCTTCGCAACTTTGTTTATACAACGTTTACTGGCGATTTAAAAAAAATCGCCGCTACTGAAAATCGCCAAGCAGTGGGCTAAAGCACATTTTCACCCAATTAAACGTTGACGCAATGTTTTTTTCTATTTCTTTGCTATAAAATAATAATTTAACCTTACTTAAGTATTTTATACTCGTAGTAAATGTATTTATTTACATTTGCTTGCCATCTTAAAAAACGACATTTTCATCAAAAAATGAATCCATTATTTTTAACGATATTTATTTTTTTAAAGTTTCGAATACGTTACTATGCGTAAAATACGTAAAAACAGCGTTTTTCAAGATGGCTGTTCGATTGTAAAAACTGCGCCAACGTAAATCGTTAAAAATCCGTGCTACCGTCTACCAAAGTAGCACCAACGACATTTTCAACAAAAAATTAATTCGTTGCTTTTAACGATATTTATTTTTTTAAAGTTTCGAATACTTTACTTCGCGTAAAATACGTAAAAACAGCGTTTTTCAAGACGACTGACGATTGTAAAAACCGCGCCAACAATGGTGCCAACGTAAATCGCCAAAAATCCGTGGAACCGTCTACTGTAATGTGGTATAAAAATAATCTGCTGCTGTATAATGAAAAGGAATACTTTAACCTGATGAATAGAAGATTAAGAAAACACATTAATCACTACGAAAAGCAATAAAAGATAAAATAACGTATAAATAAATCAATTATCAGCGATTAATCTTTAATAGAAACAATTTACCTTTTGATAAATATGTAACAGAGAATAATCACAACATATCCCATTGCAACAGTAATGCCAAAATTCTTGGTAAACAATTTTAACTCTTTCTTTTAAGCTTTCGTTACATGATGTGCAGTCGTTCCGCATGCAATTTCGCTGATACAAAGCAAATGCAACTTTAAGATTCTTTTTATTTTCAGGTTATCTGAAAGTTTTCTTTTTTATCTTTCCGGTAACAAAACTGTTTTTTTTTTTTTTTTTTTTGCAACGACTAAACTCTAAAGATTGAAATCAAATAATGTTGCCAATACGAGTTATAGAAACAATATATTAAGTAAAATGTTCATGAATAATTGCTATTTTAATATGATTACTTAATACTGAACTGATATGTATTTCTTAACTGTATAATGTTACTATTTTTTGAAACTTTACAAACAAATTTCCTATTAAGATAGTAATTTAGCTTAAAAAATAAACTTCACAGGAGTTTAATAATAACTATATCAGTAGTCCATGTAAAATAAGCTGAACTAAAAATTTTCTTAATACACAATGGCATCAAATATATTTTTATACTTCAAATTATCTTTTTAAATTCTTACTATTAGCTCACACTCTCCTTAAGTTTTCAATCGTTAATAAAATACTTTTTATTCATCCACTCAAGTTCAAATACATAGCGGATGACACTTGATGTTAATACAGTTTCTTCACATATTAAAATTTTTAAAAATTTTTAATTTAATTTTTTTGTATTTTTAAAATTTTTCTTTGTTGACCTAAGTAGGAATTGACTTTAAATTTTTTTATTTAATTAATTGTTAATTAATTAATTTTCAATCGTTAATAAAATACTTTTTTTTCATCCACTTAAGTTCAAATAAATTTTTTAAACTTGTAGTCGATGACACTTGATGTTAATACAGTTTCCTCACATATTAAAAGTTTTTTAAATTTTAAAATTAAAAATAAAATTTTTGTATTTAATTTTTAAAACTGTTCTTTTTTGACCCAAGTAAGAATTTAATTTTTTTTTTATATTATTTGTTGTCTATTATACACTGGTGTGCAAAAATTAAGGACGAAGTCGAAAAATTAGCATATCAGTTGAACGAAGAGGCAGAGCGGACAGAAAGAGAGACAATCAGGAGATTAAGTAAGGTGATGTACGGTAGCACATGCGCAGATATGCAGGTAGACGTAATGGGGGAGTGTCTGAGTAGTATAAAGCATGTTGTCGGTGTAAGATCAGTATTTCTGGCAAAGAGATTGCACGCCGTACAGCAGTTAAAATCACACCGAGTTGCTGCCTCAGCGAGAAATGGCGAATAATCAATCTGTTAGACGACATCTGGATGCTTTTACCCGAGGTCGAATCATTGGGAAGTGGGAGGAAGGCCGCAGTGTGACAAGTGTGGTTGCAGAGTTCGGAATTGCTCACAGCATCGTTTCACGACTTTGGAGACAATTTCAAACTACAGGAACAGCTATCCGGGGGTTTAGTAGTGGTCGTCCACGAGGAACCACACCCGCAGATGACCGGTATATTGCCTTACAGGCCAGAAGAAACAGGCGGCAGACAGCGGGAGAAATCGCTAGACACACGACACAGGCGACTGGACGACCGATATCGCGTTTTACCGTGGCCAGAAGACTGTACGGTGGTGGTCTGTTTGCACGACGCCCTGTACGGTGTGTACCTCTAACACCTGCCCATCGGAGAAGGCGTTCTCTGTGGTGCCGGGAACACCGGAATTAGAGAGACAATGAATGGGGACGAGTACTCTTTACAGATGAGAGCAGATTCAGTCTGAGTAGCGATTCTCATCGCATACTCATCTGGAGAGAGCGGGGAAGCCGCAATCATCCCTCGAACATCATTGAAAGGGACAGGTATGGAGGTGGCGGTGTTCTCGTTTGCGGAAGCATCATGCTTGATAGTCGTACAGACCTTCACATCGTCGACGCAGGTTCAGTCAACGGGACCTGTTATTGTAACGAGATTCTTCTTCCATATGTGCGTCTTTTTAGAGGCGCTATGGGTCCGCAGTTCCTTTCCATGGACGACAATGCACCATGTCATTGCACAGTAGCTGCCGAACAGCTCTTAGAGAGTGAGGATATTGAACGTATTATTTAATTCAGACATTATCACATTCAATACTTATTTTTTTAAAATAAATTACTCTATAATATTAAAAAACATTTTTATTTCTTAAAACAAAATAAAACTTAATACATATGTACAATGTCCTTCTGTAATGCACTTACAGCCGAACCGAAAACACATCTGTTGTATTTGCTGATGACAGACCTTTCTCCATTTTCGCAACTGGCACAATAGTCGCGCCATTTTCGTGTGGCTTTTTCTGATTTTTCCTTCCGTTCTTCGGGAACCACACCTCTTCCAAATTCAAGAAAGGAGCTTCGAACAGGAGATGGAATGTTATGGAAAGGCAAAGAGTGAGTGCCAATGTGGCCAGAAATTCATAAAACTGTTAAAAAAAGGAAGAGTAATATTAATTTCAGCAGTAATTTGTAATTCATTAAAGCGTTGCTTTGGCGCTTGCGCATTTAAAACTGTATGCACGTGACCTGTGGTGAATCACAGATACACGACAGAATGTGTTGCCATGGAGACAAAGTGCAAGGTTTCCGTTTTGTAGAATTCATAAGCCCTTTTATTTTAATGAGTGTTCCTTTAGCTTTTGAGTTGTTTAAAAAAACATTAAATACAGTCGACTGGAGAGCATTCTTTTGAGAAATTGGGCTAAACACATTATTAAACATTTCACTTTCATAAATTCACATTATATGCACTTATTAAGAATAGTTCAGGGTATTAAAAGAAATAAAGGACAATAACTCTCTTGTGTAAATGCCTTAGAGCTTAAATCTTAGTCTATTTAATCATTTAGTACACTACAGGTATAGGTGCACATCCAGCTTGAATTGTCCACTCAAAGACGTTATTTAATTCTCGTTTTATAATGCAATACATTGACCATGAAGCACATTTTATTAAATACATGTAATACAATTAGTTATACGGTACAGTGTATTACTCATACCATACGGTTCATTAACAATATTTTACAATATATTAACTTTGCAAAACAATAACATTAACAATGCATTGTGATACATGAACCTAATAGTGAAATATATAAATCATGCAATAGGATATATTAGCTTTACAGTAGAATTCATTATTAATCTCGTTACAATACACTGAGTTGCGTTCTTAATGTAAACGTGCCGTGAAGTAAAGGCATAATTAGACGTACAAAGTGACATTTTTTAAAGCAGTCTTTGCCTTGACACTTACGTTTCTGTTGGTAGTTTTGGTTCATGAACGCCAGAGCTCGGCAGTTAGTTTTCTCATGTGCTTTGCTGAGTGTTAAGATATTGAAAAACATTGGTCCGCGTTAAATTCCTGGCCACATGAACATGCATATATGGCCAAATATGAAGGGAACAATTTGTGTTCCGATATGAATTTATTGAGCGACTCGCTGCTGATCCTAAGCACTATACTAACCTTTGATACTAAAAGACGAGTGCGTCTGCCTGTCTTGACACTATCACAGCGTTCTTGTCATTTGAACTCTTAGTACTGTCAAAGCTTTGTCACGTATCATGCTCGTAAACCTAAACTGATCGTCCTTAAAACAACAGAGTTTTATTGAAAAGTCTACGGGAAAATAAGGTTGCCATTTTTAGCCTAATTGTAAATTCTACATTAGCATGTTTCTTATTCAAGTCCAAATTCAGTTTAGTATTTCGGATGCTTTTGTTTCCCTAGAACATGCTAAAAATATTGCAGAAATGAAAGCTCTGAAAATTATTATTTTATCTATGTTATTATTCATTTAATATTAAATGTTGTACCTTCGAAGTGGCTGGCTTCGAAATATTTTCACCTGCCATTTTAATTAACGAGATTCAGCCCAGAAAGGAAAAGAAGATTCAAAATATTTCCTGATTACTACATTGTTAAGAACTATGGGGTCGAAGAGATCTTCGAAGAATAACTTCTTCGATAAGCTGAAAGAAACTGGCGCTTTATTAAACAAAATAACGATTGTTTAACCAGCGCAGGCGTATTTGTACGATTGCCTAAGCATTTCTATTAAGAAAATTTTGAAAATGTGTTTTCCGGAAATTTTCTAAATACCGCTAGCTTAATAAGATGTCCCCAAATGTCGCTAAGGAATGTAGGAAGGTTTTGTTTACATCCCCATTTCTATTCCATAACATTTTTACAATTCAAACCTCAACAGATTCAGAATAACAAGCTATATAACATAATCTTGTAAATAAGTATTTACAAATAAAATACGTGAACCGGAATTGGATTAAACGAAGAACGCAATGCAATTGTTATGTAAAATGCATTAAATAAACAAGTAAAGGTATTTAGTATTATGGCAAGACCACCTTGGCACAGTTTAGCGTTTCTTTAGAGAATAAAACGAATGCTTCATAATTGCAAAAGGACTATTTCTTGCACACACACATATTGCACGTTTTAGTTTATTTATTCCTCAAATCAATTTATAATCCTATTTAGAAACGAAATTTTGTTTATTTCGTGGCTATCTTTTTAAGAAAAGACTCAAGGTATTGTTCCCTTCAGGTATAAAATGCTGCATTCCAGGAGAAACTTTACTACAGTTTTTTCCCATTGCAGAAAAATTCCTAAAGCTTGAATATAAGACTAAAAACATCTCACTTTCACAATGAAAAAGGTTAGAATCTGAAATGCAATAAAATGAGCACATATGAAAATAACATCACTGTTTGTTAAAAACTGAAGCTGCGAACGGGCTAGCTGCATGGGTGTTTTCGTGGTTTTCCCCATGTGTAACGTGTATACGAGCCAGTTTCCCTTAAAAAGGTCCTCCGCGAAGGTCCTCCTCGAGGGCTATCTGCCTTAAGGAATCTCTTAAGGCAGATAGCCCTCGAGTGCTTTGCCGTAATCTAATAACCTAAAAACTGAAGCTTTGTCAAGCATATGGTTGCCACAGTTTGGCGCATTTTGAAAATCTGGCTACTCATTTTAAGGTGCTTGCATTAATACGTAAGTATCCAGATAAAAACAATAAGTATCACGCGAGATATATTTAAAAAATTAAAATTTAAGCAAATAAATACAAATATTTATATGTGCTTGTATATGTTTTCTTTAGTGTCATTGATACTCACAATATCATAATGATGGAAATAAAGGCGTTCTCTTCGCAAACCATTTCTGACCCACAGAACAGGGAAGTGAAGAATATAAGCCGAATAAGAAAGACGACCCAGGGGTATAAAAAGTTCCCAGGACAGAAACCTATTTATTAAACCTGTTAAGGAAATACACATTATTATTTTCATTTGCACTGTATATTATAAAAAAATTTTGTAAAGACGAATATGATTAATAATGCACAGCATAGAAGTTATAAGTATATCACTAAGAAAATAAAAGAGTCAAAAATAACATATTTTATAGTTTTTTTTTTGGGGGGGTATAAAGATATATGCGTAGATAAAGGCAGTTTTCGCAAGGCTTGAATAACAAGCTAACGATTTATATACACAGATTTAAATTTTCTGGTTTAACCTAAAAAGAACAGTAGAACTTCGAATCACGAACGTCTCATCTCACGAACAAATTATTTGAACAAAAAAGTCTCGAAAGATGAACGGTGTCTCGAGTTACGAACATTCAGTTCGGTAACATATGATTTTCGATGGTGTTGAAGTAAACTGTGCAACATAAATTATATTCATGAACTTCTAGAACCAAGCACTTTTAAACACATAAGTTCTGTTATAAAGCATTTTAAACACATAATCTGCAAAATTAAAAGAAAACTGGTCAAAATCCTTACTAAAAGGTTTTTAATTTTTCTGCCAAGAAAATATATTGCTTTATGAAGCGTTTTAATTTTTCTTTTAACAAAAAAGCTGATTTAAAAGCACAGAAATGAAAATATGAGTTATGTAAGATAATAAAAGTTAACTAAGTGTTCCAAAAGTAGGAAGGCTTAAATAGTAAAATTAGGAATTGATTACGTACCTCCTTTTCCAGTGATTGATATGAATACCAACCATGCTATTCCCAAGGCCCAAGCCGTTCTGTGGAACATGGCGTATGTGACGTCAACTACCCGACTTGGTAGGTTCCCTCGATTCCATTCAAAAGCACCATATAGCACTGCTAAATTACAGGCTATTGCTGCGCACCAACCGAGTACTTGAACAGTCTTAAAGATAAGAGAATTAAATGCTTTAAACACTAAGTTTGCAACATGAAAAGTACTATTAGCATTAAAATTCGTGGCTTCTTTAAAGACAAAGCAATTAGACAGAAGCGGGAAAGTGCAGCAGAATCAAAATAACTGTGTTAATAAATATGCATAAACTTGGAATTACTTTCGTTTATCATTTTTTCTCTGAAGCATTAATCCTGTTTGGCAAATCTGGCAATCTGGTTGCAAAGCATCGAGACTTTTTACGTTTATAATACTAGTAAAACAATAGCATATCTTTTTCGCATAACCAAAGATATAGTATTTCTCGCCTTATACTAGGAACTAAACCATAACTAAATGTTTACCTGCTCCTTTCAACCAAGGCATATGTGGGATCATACCCATAGACCGCAACTCCATATTAAGCAGAAGGAGAAAATTCGATGTGCATCATTAGACCCAATGTAAAAGCCTCATACTCTGTCCTGGAGCTTCACCCATTGCCCAGGTGGGTCTTCTTACTAAACTAAGAAGGAATAGAGGTGATCAAGAAATGGTCATTTCTACACCTACCACGAACACATTACACCTCTATACCTCTTACTACATTTGCTTTCCTTTACACCTCTACTCTCTGCTTACTTTACAAGCAGGCTTCCCTTTCGAGTCGTTTATCGATGACACTTGGGGAATGCGGCACAGGATCGAAAGACATCTTCAAAACCAATTTTGATTCTATGCCGATATCTTGTCTTATGCTTATGCAAGTCTGCCTGTGCCTTATGTCGGTTACGATCCTTACAGGTATTCCAAGAGATAATAATTTAATCGAATTCTTTTCTTTCACATTATTCTTCTAAATATATTACATTATACGCCGCTTAATGTGATCGCCTTTAATGTTATTTTTCGGACACTGTTACCGAATCGTCGAATCTCCCCCACACACATTTTTATACGAACGGGTAAATATTTAATGAGCGTCTAGTTCCGGATGTAAGACGATAAATGTTAACATATTTTCTACTATTTAAGCTTGGTTGGCTTATGTACAATTTCAACATAAATCATAAATAAACTGATCGACCAAATGATATTATAGGTTAATCTCAATATATGCTGGTCATATTCCTCAATATTGAATTCGGAATTTTCTTGCGGATTTCCGAAATCTTTGCTGTGACGCAAGTCTCCGGGTGAATGTCGTAGTCTTTTATTTCAACATATTTGTCAGTTCTTGGCAGAAAATATCTTCTTCATTTCCATTCACAGCAGTGCTAAGCAAAAGTGATAGCTTTAAGTTTAAAATTGAAAATAAAAAAATGCGTTTTACACAATACATGTGTGTGTGTGATACTATAATACTGATTCCATAATTTACTTTTGCACTGAACAAACTGTAAATAACATTTTACTTATTTAATTATTCGTTTCCAGTTTTCTGTTTTTTATTGAAGCAATACTATGATTTGGAATCTATTTTTAAGCCCTCCCCCCTTAAAAAATTAAATAAAATTCCTTGATGCCATTATTTATTTCTAGTCCTCCCCTGAACATTTTCTGAGGATGCCCATGTCGAGGACTTTATACCTAGCTCGAAACTCTCTACAGTGGCGCCCGAACTAAAAAGGGCGTTGAATGATGATTCTCCTCACCCAGGATTTGGCGACTGGGTCCCCTAAAACTCTAGTCGTCCTTTAAAAGGGGGAGTATATAAGGTATTTCTCCCGCCTTCCTAGCGTGCCTTCATGATGTAGTGGTTCTGCACGCTGGGCCGGTATTCCAGAGGTCCGTGGTTCGATTACCGGCAAAGGCGTTTGCTAATTTTTCATCTTTCCTTCTTCGAAAATATACCTAATGCCTCTACAAGGTTAGTTGATTAGGAATTCTTCGACGCCATTTCTCAGTCGCGTTTACGTGAGATATTTTTTATATCGATATTTCAAACACCAGCACAGTTTATCTTTTAATCTCTCCAAAACTCAAAACTCCCTCTCCTCCTGTCTCTATAGATCAGGCATGTCAAATGGGCCGGATAGTCTTCAGTGTAAAATAGTGCCGGCCGCAAAGTTAAAAATTTGATTTTAATACACAATGATGTATTTAAAAAGTTAGTAAATACCTAATATTATAGTTCCTTGAAAAATAAAGAAACATACAGAAATCGTGATAGTGGATTATAGATAAATAATGCTTCTGTCCCGATACTTGGCATCTTTTTCTTGCGACTACTTTTTTTATGTCTGGGGACCTGCTGCTCGTACTGCGATTTTTCAGAACAGATATCAGAAGAATGTCTGTGAACGTGGATTTCATTGGGAATTTGTTCCTTTTTTTACACGTGAGAAGAATTGATCACCCTGATACTATTGAACAATAAACGCCGCTTAATGTGATCACAGTTAATGTCATCCTTCGGATACTGATACTGAAGTGGCTATGTCTCGTCTGCTTGTATATGAAACATAGAAATACCGCTTTTCGTGATCAACAATTTGGTTATAGTTATAAAAATACTGTAGAATGGATTTTTCAGTCCGAAAACAATTTTCCAAATAACGTCAAAATAAATTTAAATACTTCTAAATTGCTGAAAAATAGCACTAAGGGATTCAATAAAATAGCACTATTCAACAAACTTCTTAGTTTTTATTTTAGTGAACCCTTCTAAATTAAACAAAAAAGCTACCTTTTGTTCAATTTGACGCAGAGTTTTAGTACCTCTGTTGATTTTGAGAACAATAAAATCCAAATCTCTCTTTTTCAGACGAAAGAAGACAACAGAAGATACCTACTTGGGGCTTTCTGAAATAAATCTAAGCACATGATGTAATAAACTTTTTTAAGAACTCAAAGGTAATATCAGTCAATTTCCTATAAATGCTGTTTGTCCGAGTATTAAGATTAAAAGTGCAACATCGGTAAATAGTTTCGAAAAATATAGAAATAGTTTGTAAAATAATAATAGTAAATATTTTCTAAGAAAATAGTTTCTAAAATTTCTAAAAATTTCTTAAAGCCGTTTATAAACGAACTTCATCATGTTTGCAGACAATCCACTTTTAACAACTTTTCTTAATTAAAATGACGTAAAAATAAGTATTTATATGTTACTGCTTATATTTATATTAAATATTTAACGTCCATTGTTGATTTGAAGGTCATCGTTTAATGTTATCAAAATAGCCGTAGGCAAACGGGATATCATTGCTGTGCCTACTGTAGGATGCAATTCTGCGGCTTTCTGGGAAATGTGCAAGCAAGTGTTTGGAAAATTCGGGGCTATCTACTTCTGAGAAATTTTGTTCGAATTTATGTTAATTTCATCTGTAAATGGGATGGCATTTTCTTAACATCGGTTTAGAAAATAGTTTTATAAAGAGACCTTGAGATTTTTTTCCTTTTTCCGAGTACATATCATTTAACATAACTCTCGAAGTTGTATACAGGCCTCGATATTGGATGAAATTCCAATATTTATTAATATATTATAATTATATGTTTTTTTTTTTTTTTTGTTTATTTTCTGGGACTGAAACGAAGGCTGCCGAAAAAGGAGAGTTTGACGTGCTTGCTGTAGATGATGACCTATGGTGGATACATTGGTACCTTTAATATTCAGAAAGCATTGTGATCAAATTCGACTTGAATGTTAAAAGATGTGAAACAAATAAACAAAATGCATGGTTGGCTTACCGGTTTTATGTCCACTTTCCTGTATTTTAAAACAAAATATCCCAGTGCGAGTCCCACACAGTAAGCACCCATGTGAGGATAAGGGCGAAAATACATGAGATCGCATAGTTGCTTCGTAAACCTGAAAGTATATTCAAACATCAGGAAAGCAAATCTAATAGTACACGTTACATACAAACTTATTATTATGTTAACTGAACCATGTAGTAGTTTTATATAAATTAATCAGTTATAATGACTGTGATCTTTACTATAACTTCTTCCTTCTGTATTTATCATCAGAATGTAAATGAGCTTTGACTGTATTTTAAGCTTACGGTTTTCAATCTTAGATGGAGACAGCTTCTGGCCCTCTTCTCTGCTGTTTAGGGTTTCACCAACTCTATTTAAAAGTGATATTCTCGCTAGCCGATGCTTTAAACTTACGCGCCAGCAATGAGCCAGCTTATTTCTTATTCTACTGAATGTATATTTTTAGCCTACGTTACTCTTATTTGAATTTAATTGCTTATTGCTTAATTTAAATAGCCGTAAGTGGTGGTTTGTTTGTAGCAGAAGATGTATCTTTATATTAAATTTTCGACTAACATAAAAAGGTTATTTTAACCCTTTGTACTTTCCCCTCGGACGAACCAACAACTCGAGACGATTTTCTGCACATTTGGAGAATTTCTTATAGCTAACTTAAAATGATTTCACGGAAATCTGATGGTTCTTTTATACCTGAAGGTACTTGCGGTCCTGCATCTCTTTCGCGGGATGCAAACAGTCGTATTCTATGCATGTTATCCATTCTGAATTCTCTCTCTTTTCTGCCGAATCACTGTCGTTTTCACATTTACTATCGATAAAAAATCGAACTTCTCTTCACTTGAATTAATTCCTTCACTACATTTCATACTGTTGGTTCCGTAACTTTGAAAATAATATTCTTGTTGCCACGAATCTTGGGTTAGACCTGACGTCGAAGAGGCGTATATAACAAAAAATTAAAAACATGGATTTAATATTAAAGATTGGTAATTGTTTTATATGTATGCAGCGTTGAATACACTCATGAAGCAATATTGCCCAAACCAAACCAAAATAAACTCCTTTACCGCTCGAATTATCTGATCAAATCGAGTGGTGATCGACAGTCACCTCTCGAGTTACCACTTCAAATCAAGTGGCGGCTGATCACCTGTCGAGTAAATTGTCGAGTGCAAAGGGTTAAAAGCTTCTTCCGTATTGGTGAGTTGTTGAGACGCAGCGTTAATCAAGTAGTGTCTGCAGGACTTTAACTCCAGTTATTAGCAGCATTCCTATAAACTAACAAAAACAAGTGCATACATTCTCGACCAATTCAGTTGTAAAATAGGCAGATTTTGTAAGCTTCATAAATCAGAAATTGATCGAAAGTGTTATGAAATGTCTATATAGAGCTCTTGCTCTCTCTTTAAGTATGATGATTTTGCTTACAGTGCCGAAAATTTATCTATCCACACCTTAACCCAATTTCATTGTTATATAAAAATCTTAATTTCATTCATTTGTTTGTTGCATTATATATATAAATGCGAAATCGGAATCATACTAGATATTTGTCTTTAACAAACAAAACAAAGGAAGTAAACATAGATAAAACAATATTTATTCTCTAAAGATAATCCTTGATAAAAAAAATACTAAAATTTTCCTCTACTTACGCTTGATTTGGTGTGAAATATAGAAGGGTTGGATAAAAGTCGTTAGCAATAGTTAGAACTGCCATGATACCCATGCACGAGAGGGTAAGAAATAACATGACAAGAAATCCAACTATTGGCCACCTGAAATTTAAAAGAAAATAAATTAAAGAAAGTACAAAATTTACATATTTTTTAAAAAATTGTATAAATAATTTAAAACTTATCAAAAATGTTAAAAAAATTAAAAATTATTTCTTAACTAACTAATAATTTCATAAAATATAAAATAACTAAAGATTTTTTTCTAATTGTGTTGTAAGGAATTAGTGAATTACCTTCCATGTGCTTTAGCAGAGCAGTGGTTATCGTATGCAGTTGAAAGATCTGAGCTTAATTCCCAGCAAAGTTTTCGATGATATTTCAAGGATTTCTTCCTCCAAAACATTCTAGACTGTTGATTACTTATTGAAATATTCATTGCATTAAATTTAAGTTTAAAATAATTTTTAGATATTATATAGATATTCAGCCTTCTCTGTACTATAGTCTCACCAGTCTCTTAATATTTCGAAAAGTATTCGTAACAACTGTAATTTGATCTAAGCAAAGTTTTAGTCTAGCCAAGTGAAATGTAGTGGCTAACTTATGTGTTAACATTTGTTCGGTTGAGTATATTTGCAGAATTAAAAAGAAAGAAGTTATTTTAATACTATCATTATTACTTAGCACTACACAGAGCCGGGACAAGGGTAGGGCAAGTGATGCGCTAGCCTCAGGTGAACAGCTGGGAGAGGCGCAAAACTAGATAAAAAAATTTAGAAATACATTACAAAACAAATTATCAATGTTAACTTTATAAGCTATTTTCTCCCTTCTTCGAGCACATCTTCTTGATGTAACGGTAGCACACTCGGCGCGTTTTCGAAAAGTCCAGGTTCGAGTCCCGCGACGGCATTGTACATTTTTCACAAGTACAAAAATTAAAAAAAAAAAAAAAAAAAAAAAAAAAAAAAAAAAACTAAACTAATGGCTTTACAGCTTTCTATTTTGAAACATATCAGAGAGCACAATGATAAAAGTTATCGTTTTACAATATCAGGAAAGCAATAAAAAGGGCGCTGGCACTGAATTCTTAATCACTTGCGCACCAGTGGGCTTTTGTTTAACCAATTAACTTTGTAAAATCAAAAACTTAATTAATTATTAAAGATGTAATATTTAAAAAGAGACACAAAAACCATTGTCATGCATTATGTGTAACTTCTAGCTCGTTATTATTGCTTTATATAAATGCTTCAAATTTATATGAGATATCAAATGATATGTCATTACAATGGATTGAAATTAGCAGCCTCTTTAAGCAAATCAATTTAAAATTTTAAGCATGGGATATAAAACATCAAAAATTAGAAAAAGGTAAATCATAACCTTTAATTGTATCACATAAAGTTGCGCGCTTAATAGACGGAGAAATTTAATACCGACGGATGCGTTGGCTACAGGATAGCTTTCATGGTTTTCCCCACTTGCAACTTAAAGCGAGCTAGTTTATTTTAGATTGTCCTCTACTAAAGCCAGCCTCTCCTTAGGCAATTAGCCCTCTTATGTTTTGCAATGCTGAATTAAGCATACAAACAGAAGGATTATCTCTTTTTATGCAGGTTATGTTCTTGAGCTATGTCAAAATTTAGCTAAAGATGAACATATCAACACAACATGAAAAGAAAGGAAAACGAAAATTTAACAAATCAGATTACCAAGAATTAGCAGTTAAAGGAATCAATACGTTTGAAAAAAAACTTTCCACAGTAGAAATGAAAGAAGTTATTTATGTTTTAATCTCGAAATAAAAATGGACATCCAAAAAAATAAAAGCGAGCTACTTTCCGATTTTAAATTCGTTAACTGATGAAAATGAATGTAATTGAATTTATGTATTTTTTAAAAGAGCAACTTAGTATTTAAATATCCAATGGTATAAATGCTCCAGATATTCCATCATAAATATTTGGTTTCAAAAGCCATTCTATTTTAATAAATCTTAAAGCAAAATCAGATCTTTCAGAGATGATATAGGTTGATCACATTTGAATTCCTTCAATGCATTAAAAATATTTTTAACATTACCTGTTACTATTGCTCTGTGTGAAAGAAGTTTCAGGAAGCTCAAAATAAGTATTAAAAACAGTATGTAAAATGTCATCACTATTTACTTTATGGAACTTAAATATTCAAACATATTTTAAAAACATAAGTGTTAATTTTGCTTCTTTAAAAGCAAAAAAAAAAAAAAAAAAAAAACTTAAAAATTACAAGAACGAAATCTTGAATATTACTGCAATATTTTGGATATTTATTGGATTACTATTTATATTATTTCAATGTAATTTACTATTTATCAAAAAGGTATTCGTTAACAGTTTCAACTAAAAATTAGGAATCATTACACGTATTATTTTCTGAAAACATTAAGTTACAATTAAAATTGACTATGAGATCTATAATATAATTATCTTTGTTTAATATATTATAACTACTACAATTCAGGCAATAAACCATTGGACGAAATTATTTAGGAATGAGCTTTAATACTATATGAGAAATTAATCATATTGCCATTGCCAGAGTCGTGGAGAAATTATGATATCTCTAGAACTAGAAAACTGAAGACTCAAAGAAGGGTACCATTCAAGATGAATTTTTGCAGAACGTTTGAAAACTGAAATCAAATTACTCCCTCCTGGATGTTTCCACAAAGAACTATTAAAACCAAGAGTTCTATCCACCTAGGATCTGATGAACTAAAAGCAGCTGTTATGGAGACAATTTATTCCAGGTGTTCAAGGAATAATTGGCTGCACGTATAATCTGTTGGATCGAAAACCCTCGAGAAAGTTGGAGCTGGTACGTATTCAGAGCTTTTTGTATTCTGTTCTTTTATTGGTCCATTTCGGACCAATTTCAGTGGAACAACTGTAGGCAATTAGAGTTGCAACGCAACTGAACAAATTATTGTTATAATAATCCAACTGAAAAGTATTATTACTTATTCAGACTCCCTTTCAGCCATTCAAGCGATTTCTGCGCATAATATCGTGGAATCAAAACTTACTGTATCATGCCGAAGAACTCCGCATCTTCTAGCCTGAAAAGAAATGACTGTTGTCTCAGAGTGCATACGGACTCACGTTGAAATAATTGGTAATGAATGGGGGTGATAAACTAGCTAAAAAAGGAACTGAAGTTGTCAGGACTGCTATTCCTTCTAACTGCCTTGGGAAACACCTAGTAATCCTGAATGGGAACAGGGAGCTTACTCAAGCTATGTTCGTGTGTGCGTGGAATGTACAACACAAGTAAGAAAGGTTAACTTACCCTTTATTCCTCACAGCGTACAGGCGCTCCCACACTTCGGGATACAGAGACCAAAAATTTTGGTGAAAAACGTAGAAAATAAGAAATATTGATTTAATAACTAACTTAACTAAATAAGAATTAAACTTTAATTCTGTACAGAGATATTAACGAGATTGGCTTTGTGACACTACGTATGTAGTGAGCGAAATGCAAATACTACAATACGACTTAGTATATCAGCAGGAACTAAGTAGTTCTGGTCTTAAAGGCTGGCATGAGCTGACTGAAAAGCATGCGCGTAGCAGTGCAGAGGGAGACTCTTCTCCCTCTTAGCTAGAAGCCACTTCTTTAATACCTATACAGTTTGCAAACTCATTGACATTAAAATCCTACTCGCGCTTATTCTGGCCGGAAATGGAAAAAAGGAGAGGTAGCAAAGTTTAAAATAAAATAAACGTTAGTAAAACTCAAAAATCTTATAAAGTTTCGCAATCAAATAATAGTAGGGTGCCATTTACATCATGAAAAATATAGTAAAAATATCCTATGAGGAAACATTTTGATGCTAAATTACTTGAAGAAATTAAGAATAAGAAGAGGAGGGATTCGATTTGTAATATCTCAGACTCTCCCATATCCATCGCAGTTGCAGCGTTCTTTTTGAAGACTGGCCAGTATTGTCCCGCTAAACATTTACATAGCATTGATATAAATGATTGTCCCTTGTTATAATTTTGTGCAACCAGAATTTTGAGATGGACGAAGATTATTTGCCAAAATGTTCTCCTTTGAAGGAAGAAAACCAGTGTAATCGATGTTGCGGTGTAGAGAGTTAATGCAGTTAACATCTAGCGACTAATTTTTTTTACACTTTATATAGTCATACGTCATTGAATTTTGCAGTTTCGATGTAGTTATTGTTATTTTAATGAGGTTAACTTTTGTTTTGTCTTCTTGTAATTCTATTTTTGTACTATTTTCATGCTCCAATCTCAGGATGGTAATGATATAAACTCAAGTGCCTTTGCAATAAAAAAAAAAAATGCATATAAGTATACAGGTAGAGAAAATTGTATTGCACATTTAATCTTTTTGCCTCAGATAAAATATTACATAGCCACTGCTCTAGTACTATATATTTACCAAATACATTTACTTTAAAATCTTTTTTAAATACGTCATATCTATTAGAAAACGCATGTTAAAACTGAACAAAATAAAACAAAAGAGAGCGTGATTAGAACATTTGCTTAAAATCTAATTAGGTAAATATAAAAAATACTACACAGTAAAAATTTTCAATTTCAATTTTGACAGCATCAGTACCTGTACAGGGGTATCAATATTAGTGGCGCTATGAAGTACAGATGAAGATCCGATGCTATGTACCAAGTATGGAGTAGACACTGCAAAAACGAAATAATAAAAATTAAATAATGATTAATTAAAGCTAACGAATTTCACTCTTAAGTTTGTGTAGTCTGCGGGTAATATGTACCCTTATTTAGCGAAACTGGCAGTAATGCAATAAGTACAAAACATATATTACATCAAATTTACGTAAGCTGACAATTTCGCCATTTTTTAACTAATTTTAATTAAAAATTTCAAGGAAAAGAACAAATCTAATTTTATCTTAAATAAGATTCTCATTTATTGAAGTAATTGATAAAAAATGGCTTAACTTGATACTTACCAAGTAATGATCAATTTTAAAATTAAAAAAAAAAAAAAAAAAAAAAAAAAAAAGTCGGTACTTTAATTACGCATTTTACTAATACTATTTAAGATATAGCTATTTTAAATTTTATACATCACTTTTCCAACCTTGTTTCTATCCAAAAATATACCTATTTTTCTCATACAAAATATTTATTATTTAATTCATCAAAATTTAACAGCTTTCTGGAAGGTATGGATTATGTATTCATATCAAGTTAATTATTGATTAGGCCAAGGTCCTGGATTAAGCAGGCCTCGCCGAGATTTTAGAGGGTTTAAAAGTCATGCTATACGACGGGCAGTCAGAAGGTTCCCGGAATTTTGTTGTAACTTAATCACTAGAATTAATTAATTATTTTTTTTACTACCACTATATTTTTGTACTACCACAGTTCATGACAGGTAGTTTGACAGCAGTGTAGCTGAAGGTAGGAGTGTGTGGTGATCAGTCTTTGTGAGGGAGGAAGTACTACCGTAATACAGTGACTATCCTCCTTGCCACTTAGCGGGACGTTTCTTCGGTTTGCATCCTTTAGTCTTTCTAAACTTGCACTTAAGAAGGGCCGTTAACAGTTTGTTCAGCTGGTACAAATTCATAGTTTACCACACCTCCGTTGTCGAAAAAAGCAATGAGCATCATTTTTGTTTTGGATTTGATATGACGTGAGAAGTGGACGTTGTGTGGATTCTGATGACTGCATCTTTGTCTGTGTGGATTCTAATGACTGCATCTTTGTCGCTGGGATGTAAGCGTACACCCAAGTCTCGTCACCACTTAACAATTGTCTCAAGAAATATCGGGTCGTATGTGCTTTTTTCAAAACTATCGGCAGCAATATACTATTGAGTTTCCATTTGATCCGGTTCAGCAGCCGCGAGTCAAACTTTGCGCTGACATATTTCATATTCATACCATCCGACATGATTGCGTGAATGGATGCATGAGAGATCACCACTTCCTGTGCCAACTCGTGAGTGGTCATTCTTCGGTCTGATCTGATTAATTGTTTCACTTGCTCAACCATTCCTTTGTTTTTGGGAACTGAAGTCCTCTCACCGCGGCTTTCGTTTTCCAGCGATTCCTGTCCACCCCGAAACCTTGAAAATCAATCGCAGACGGTGGTTTTCTTTGAAGAAACATCACCGTAAACTGCTTGTAAGGCTAACAAAGCTTTTGGATTAGATTTTTCCAATCTGCACTTGACCTTGGTGTTTGCCCTTTGCTCGAACTTCGACATCAGTAGACATTGCAGAACTTCGACATGTTCGGCAGATATGGTTAGTATAAAAGTGCGTTCCAGTCCTCCACCAGCCTCCATATTCACCGGATTTAGCACCATCAGATTTTTGGCTCTTCCTCAAAATCAAAATAAGCCTCAAAGATAGCGGTTTTCACACCGCAGAAGACATCAAAACCAACGCGACGGGTAGTCTTCGGAAGATACCACAACAGGAATCGGCAACGAAATTCCGGAAACCTTTTTACTACCGCTCGTAGTTACTGATAGCTTTATATTTCTGTCATTGAAAAGCTGTTGAGTATTGAGAACTGGTTGAAACTGGTTGAAAATAATAAGTATGTTGTTTTTAAAATAAAATATATTTAATATTAAATATTAAATTATTAATTAATATAATATCAAGTATTTTTTAATGTACCGTAAAAGAATAGAATATAATATCCCTATATTATAAATATTTAGGCATAAAAAAACTTTCCCGATGTATGATGTATGATAGCAATATATTCCCATATGCGTGATAGTGGCCTATCAGTTAACCAATCGAAATGAAATTTCAGATGTTTTTAATTTGAAGGTTTTTGTGCTGGAGTCTGTGATGATTTAAAACAATGAAACTTTCACAGTTACGGTTACAGTGAAAAAAGTTCGAAATTTTCGAAAGGCAACATCCACATTTTTCCTGCAGAAACTAATCGGCGCTTTGAAAAACCATAAATGGCTTTGGAACATTACATGTATGAGGAAAATTTTCGGCGTAAAAAATTTGCAAAGAAGAATATTCTAGAGGACCAGTGACAACTCAAGAGAGGGGAGAGAAAAAACAAACTTTTATTGGAACTACAAATTTTCAACATGCGCACTTTCGCAGACGATAACGCACTGTATGCGGAAGATTGTTGATAACGACGAGGAACGTAACATCGCAAGAGGAAACTGTATAGCCTCACATTTTGTGACATCTTTCAAGTCTGTGAAATCTCGTGGGTCAGATTTCAGATAAGCCCTAGATAAGAAATACAGGGGAATGACATCGTAAAATCGTGATCACGAAATTATAAAGTTATGTGGAATGACTCGATTTCAAAGCAGCACTTACCGAACAAAAGCGGCAACGTGTGGCGGAGCACTACCTTGTATCCATACAATATCATTAACGACATTTCGCTGCTGCATTTCTGGAATTACGAATTCTATAATACTACCGTATACCGAGCATTTGTGATGAAGCACGTTTTCATGCCAATGGAAGGGACATTCGAAGAAGTACGGATCGGGAACGAATATGCTTGCGATGCCGCACCACACAGTCACTTGATTTTCATCAGCCCAGTGACGATTTTCATCCCGCAGTTCTTGGAGTCTGCGTTCCCAATTAAGGAAAAATGGGCCTCATCAATTCATAATATCCCCCCGCAGCCACTTACTATCTTTATTATATCGTATGATCATAAGCAATAATGATTTCGTTTTTGCAGATATTTTACGCCAGCAAACTTCAACATACGTGTATCGCCCCAACACCATTTATGGGTTTCAATGCTCTGATCAATTTGCTCAGGAAGAAGGTGGGTTTTGCGTCGGAAAATTTTGAAATGTTTTCACTGTAACATTAATTGTGAGAGCTTTTAAATCATCAGAATCTCGAACGCATGCCGTAAAATAACAATATCTGAAATTTCATTTTGGTGGGGCGAATAATTTCATATATCGGGAAAGATTTTTATGACCACCTGTACTTTAAAATAAATTCGATTTTCACAGTTTTAAATAAAAATAAATAGTTGAGTCAAAAAGTTCGATGTCGAAGAAAGATTATTCAAAAGGCCTCGGAATGATTTTTTTAGAAACCGAGTCTCCAATTCGGATGTTAACATTATTTCAGTAACTGAATGATTAAACTTTAAATCATAACTTTTTTTCAGTTCTTGCATCTTTAAAATATGAAATACCTTATAATAATAATGTTACATATTGCATTAATTGTAATAGTAGGTAGATTGCAAGAAACTGATGCTTGCACTTAACTGAATGATGAAATTTTAAATCATCACTTTTTCAATATTTGCATCTTTAAAATATTAAATACTTTATAATAATAATGTTCCATGTTATATTAATTGTAACAATCGGTAGTTTGCACGAAAAAAAATCAAATATTTTATGCGCAAAAGAAAAGCAGATATTTAAAAATAATTTTCAACAATTCGGTCTACGAAGTAACTTTCCGAAGAACTCATATTTTACTCGGTATACATTTGAATGCAGATTTCGTACAACTATAGTACATAACGTCACATTTTGTCAGCTTCCGCCATCTAGGACTTCTTGTACGTATATTTGTGAAAAATCCTACGTTCTCTCAGTTTAGGGTTCAATGTCCTTTATGAATGATATGAATGGGGCCAAGGCCAATTCCGACCATAGACCAGCATATTTCGCCGGCTTTCGGAAAGCACCTGCTAATTTTTTTTCTGAAGCGGCAATTAAATAAAACACTTAATTCTTTTTTAATCATTAATACGCTTAATTTATACAGAGCGTCAACATTACTGATTATCCAGCGCCCCGAAATTAACATAGTTGGATCTACTCTCAATAGGCCTGGCTAAAATGCTTTAAGCAAATGATCACTTCATTTGAAATAATCTAAACAGAAGCTATTTTTCTATCAAAAATTCATACAAAATTGATTTGAGATCTACAGATGAATTTCATTTATTGGATAAATTCTCTTTGAAAAAAACTGTTTCATACTTAATCCATCCTCTTTCTCTTTTATGCACTTTCACTACTGTATTTACAGTAACTACTGACTTTACCAAAATACTTACCATGTCATCAAAATGCGTCCAAGTGTTAATAGGAATGATAAGTGCTTGCCACCAGTACTTCTCACAGTTACTGACTTCATGGCCAATAACATCCTTCCATAATGGCCCCGATCCGAGCAAAGGGAGGAGGAACATAATAACTAAACATCCAGCAACAGGAGGAGTTAACCTAATAATTCGAAATTAAATGCTTATGAGAAAATTACATTCACAATACAGCATTATCTAGCACTCTAAATAGAAAATTACATTCACAATACAGCATTATCTAGCACTCTAAATAGGAGCTATACCACTAGTTGCTTTGTCAAAAGGCTAAACAGGGTAAATAATGAAAGTTTGGTACTTACATATTTTGCCACATACCATGTTTAATAAACACAAATTGTCCCGAAAAGAGCTTATTCAGCAGAAATAATGGATAAGCATGACTTATAAAATCTTCACTCCAGTTTCATATAACATCGATTAATTCTCGATATTTCACTTTACCTGTTGATTAACTAGCTGAAAAAAAGGGATTTTTTCAGCCCAAACTTTTTCTGAAATCATTGGCGAAGTCTAAAATCGTATTTATTTAAGATTTTCAGGCTTTATCTGTGTCTTGCATGTGTTGATTCTTCTGCCATCTTAACCCATTCAACGCCACAGTCCTCCAACTCTTGGCACCAACGTTCTTTAATCACTTTTCCACATTGTGTAAGCCACCTCGTCCGTGGCCTTCCTCTCCTTTTCTTTCCTTGAAAACCTTTTCTTGTACAAATGTATTTCAGTTCTACTGCTTAGGTGTTTTGATTTAAACTGGTTTCGTAATATATAATACCATTTTTTACATGTTAATTCGGTTTTTGATTTCAGTTAGTTGTAGCATTATTATTATTTACAATTACCCAAATATTTAAATTGTTCAAGCTCCTCAAAAACATAGCCATTTAGTTTCAGCGGTGTCTGGTAATGTCTTCCGTTTGTAACTGTCGTGAAATTAGTTTGTTCTTCACTGACAGTCAAATCAATACTTTTCCTGCCGACTCGAGAGCACAAAAGGCCTCAACTTTTGCCGCCTTTGTTCTTTCCACGATGGCAATGTCATCAGTGAAGGCCAGCAATTGCACAGATTTTATAAATATAATCTTCTGTGTTTTGTGTGCCCGAATTTCTTACTGCTGTTTCTTATTGCTAATATCTAGGGAGATATTAAACAACTGGCAGAAAAGAGACAGCATCTGTTGACTATCTTAACTAATTAGACAGCTATCTGCTCCTTCGAATTTCCTCTAGAAATATCCTCGGAAGTTTGGCAAGACTTTGTCCAGTTTCATGGTCAGCGGAAAAATATTTAAGTACCGAAAGTTCCTTATTAATGACTTGTACGAATTCATGGATGTATCCCAATAGATTTATTAGTCTTAATCATCTAAAATATCAAAATGCTGTGGAAAAATTGAATAAAATCTTCGTTTTACATATTTTATATGTATGATTTTCTTATTTGCTTTGCAAAAAGATTAAAATACATAAATTTGATTCCGTGAACATCACCCTTCCTAATTCATACTATTTTTCTGTTCTTTGTTTGAAAAAGGTTTTTAAACATCTTAAAAAAAGAAATAAAGCTCAATCAAGAAAAGTTATCGTGGAGTTCAGGAAAAAAATTATTACTGTGGACCTTTTATGTTAATTTAAGGAAATTATTTTATTAAATGTTTATAACGTTAGTTTTATAATACATAACATGGTTCTATCCCAAAAAAAGTTTCTTTAGTTAAATTTTATTCTGCAACAAAATTATTTTTTCGAAAGGCATTCTTTTCATATTAGTGGTAATTTTTTGTTATGTTGTTCCCAAAGACATAAGAAGTAAGAATATGTTATACATCCACTTTGTTGACGAAAGAAAGAGCTAATCATGTTAGGTTTACAAAAATGATCCATTAATATTGTTGATGCGTGATCTTTATCAGAACTAAATTAATTGTCTCAATATATTTCATTCTGATAAAATGATTTATCAGAATAAGCATAATTGTTTCTCCTTTTGTAGAACAGCTGAAGCTGGTAAGGGCAAACTAATGGTATTTTTGGAATCAGTGTCCAAAATATTTCAAGGAATAGACTGAATTTGAAAAGCACTGAAATTCTTTTATTGATCAGCGAAATTCTTCAGTACATCTTTATGAAAATCCAGTTTATAAAAAACGAGTTAAAAACAGTTGTAAAGTATAGATGTAAATTTCAGATTTGTATCTATGATTATTATTGCTTTTGTCTTCATAACTGTAGATAAGAAAAATTTATATTTCACTCCTTTTTAATCCGAATAAAATAGAGATTTTATACCTATCAAGATGAAAACGATCCTTTGCATAAAATTTAAAACAAAGTATTTTTAAAGATAAACTTCGCTTTCAACGAAAAAGGATTAACATCCTTCTATGAGCTAAATTAAGCTATGAGCTTTATTTTTAAAGTTACAGAGAGCATTTACATATTTTTAGAACGATTTCGCGGCCGTTTAATTGATGTATAAGCTATAAAGAGCATTTTTTCGTAAAATTTCTAGGGGGCATTGATTTCCATTCCTGTTTTACTACTTTGCAGAGTTGATCAATCGTTGTGGATTTGGGATCAGAAAGAACTCTTTTAAGACACCAAATGTTACAGGAGTCTTTGAATGTAATTGGGATAATCAAATGGAATATTCTCCATAAATATCGGACGTAAAAATTTCTCTTGATAGTACGTTTGGTTGATTTTAACACTTTTTTTTACACTTTTCCTTTTTTTTTTATTTCCCACCGTCAGAGAATCAGACGACAATCATAAACCTCTTACTGAAGCCTTCTTTTCATTGATGAAATCAAGTACGCCCATTTTTTCTATTCGTTTTTGATAATAAATACATCTTTTTCGTTGCAGTCATTTGGGTAAACCCAAGTTTAGGAAAGAGTCATAATGCATTGTCCATTTATTTCCTTTTAAAAGTTTTCATGCGAGCTTCTACAAATTCTTCTGCATTGAGTCATATGTCTTGGCAAAAGCTGATGAGCATTATATTTTTCAGCGTTTTTAAGTCTTTAAGTTCATAAATCTTTAATTCTTTCATTATTGTTGTTGCAAATGTATTTCAAGACTTTCCAAACGAATATCCGAACAAGGAACGTACTATTACCAAAGATTTAATTTTAGTAACATTAGAAACAGTGCGTTCCTTTTTCGGGTATTCGTTTGGATTCCTCTTTCAATGTAGAAGTAATGACTGATGACTTTTCCTTTTCGATTAATAATTTTGCTTATTTTGCACTTGGAAATTTTTATACCATGTATTTCACAACTTTATATTATAGACTATATTATAATTATAGTCTACATTTTTCTAAGACTATATTTATGTAGCAATATTTCTCTTCGAAAAGCATCAAAACATATACTACAATCCACAAGTTAATTACATGTCATATTTTGAAAGAAGAATAAATTTAAAACTAGCAGACGATATGTCCCAATTCAGGTAAGCTATAATCAGAAATTTTTACTCCAAAATGTTTTTTTTTAATCATTTACGAAATCATTCTAAAAGTGTGTAATCACCCTTTGTAAATAATGCTTAAATTTTACACCATTTATAAAAATATTCATAACCATAGTTTCTTATTTTATCTCAGAATTTTATAAATTACCAACATCGATGAGACTATTATGGCAGCTTCGTAGATATTGAGAATTTGGGGCAATAAATCTTCTGTCTTATACATTAATGTGAACTAAGTTTTATATAAAGGCTCTAATGATGCCACGTGTCTTCGTATTAAATCTCATTAGAAACAACAGCGTTTGGAAGCGAAATAGTAGATAATAGAATAGTAAAGCTTACTGAATATACAAGTGCGTGGCATGGAACAATTGTTAACCTCTGCCATAGAATCATTGCAATAAATAAATTTTAGATATTTCCTTATTAAAGAAGCCATGCAGATTGTCTTTATGCATCCCATGATTAAAGAAGTCCCAGAAATTGTATAACATAATTACTGTATAATAATTAGGAAATCAGTATTAAGGCATAAATCGGAGGCAAAAAGGAATAAGTGAAGTTAGAAATATAGAATTTTGTATCCAAGAATGTTGGTATAATTTTAACAGCTTGAATATATGCATGTTTCAATATTTCCAGATAGCAGTGAAAGCAAAAATATTGTACACTGGTTACCATAAATTAAGGAAAAATCACAAAATCACGATTACTGAAAAAGTTACATGTAGAATTTTATGAAACCTACTCACAATATACAACATATAGTAAGGTATCTAATAACATAAAAAGAAATTACCAGACAATTATGGTAGTATAGAAATTAGCACATGTATAAAATGAACAAATCGAAGATGTCAGTTTGCTATAGTAAAAGTGCCTTCAATATGAAATATAATCGCCTCTAGAAGCAATACAGCACATTCAGCGATGTGTGATGCTTTCAATTATGCGGTTTATCAGTTCCATAGAAAGCGAGAGCTATTGCTCTTGCAAAGCAGTTGCAAGCGCGGCAAGGGTCTAAGTGGGCGGATTGAGAGCAGCTAGACGTCTCTTTAAAGCATCCCAAATGTGCTCGATAGGATTCAAGTCCGGCGATCGAGCTGGCCACTCCATGCGCATAATTGTTTCCTGTTGAAGATAATCATATACGATGCGAGCCCTGTGTGGTCTTGCATTGTCGTCCTGTAACAGGAAAGCATCACCTATCGCCCCGGCATATGGGCACACATAAGCATCAAGGATGTCATCTCTATAAACATGAGCATTCACGGTTCCCCTTGTAAAAACATGGGGGTCTGTGCGTCCACCCAAAGAGATGCCACCCCAAACACAGGCACTGCCTCTTCCGTATGCATCTCTTTCACGGATGTTTGACGGATGATAAGGGGTTCCAGTTTCTCTTCATATCAAATAACGCCTACTATCGCGTTCTAGACTAAACCTGGACTCATCCGTAAAGAAAATAGCCCTCCATTGAATCAGGCATCCAGTGAACATGCTGTCGTGCCCACTGGAAACGGTCCCTGCTGTGGCGTGACTTGAGCGGCACACAAATGGTTGTTCGCCTCGCATACAGAGCACCTTCATGAAGCCTTCTACGCACAGTTGCGTTGACACCAACCTTCCGGTGGCTGCAG